ACCTAAATGGGGTACATTTTACGATCAGGCATATAGTTATCGAGTTATAAAATTAAAGCTCAAGTGCCAATCATTTTTGTTTTTTTAATTTAATTGAGTTTGAATTATAAAATATGATACTTTAGTATAAATATCATAGAAATACATACAAAGGCTATGGGGAAATCAACCCATATCATGTCAACCAAAATGAACATACAAAGACCCTGCTGGTAGTTATCGAAAACAATAAAATCTGGTGAAGTAAGTGGTACTAACTCAGCCAAATAATTATTATAGGCTTCATAATACAATAGTTAAAGAATAATAAGGAATTTTTTTTTTACAAAAATAAAAGATGTTAATTCAAGGATAACTTAATAGTGGTTGATGTTGTATCTCTAAGTTCTTCTAAACCAAATAGGCACATTAGAAAAATGAAGGGAAGTGATGGGAAGAGCAGAAATAATATTCTTTCATTTCCCTCTTTCCCATCTTCCTCCTCTTCTTTTTCCTCATTTAAATTATATACTAAAATGTACAAAAAGAAATTAAAGCAAAACTTAAAAGGGAAGCTTCCCCTCTCCCCTCTCCCCTCTCCTCCCTCCAATTTTTAATCCAAATAAAAAAGCTTCTCCCCATTCCCTCTCTTCTCCTCAAACCAAATAAGTTTTAAGAGTGCATGGCTTATTATTCTTAATGAGACATGTTTATATTGGCTCGTTGGCCGTCTTCATTCTAGCCTTTTTTTTTTTTTTGAAAAGCCCCTCTTCATTCTAGTCAATTTAACTATATAAAGGGTTACTTCTCTTTTGTTGTATCTTTCATCAGATTATATAATAACTTTTCTTTTCTTTTTTAATTTTTATCTGTTTATCTTAAAGTTTGAACTAAAAACTTGTAACTTATACATATTGGAGATAAACTTTTGGAAATTACTTTTGACTTATATGAACGTTCTTAATCTCTCCTATTTCAATATCAATAATATATCAAACTAAGTGTCTAAACAATACCATTCCCAGCTATCTCCCCAATTTTGATCTTGAAATAAAAATAGAAGGTAGAGATAATAGGAACTAATTTTATTGTCATTTCAACATGAGTATATTGGAGATATCAATAATTAAGGGCTTGAATTTATATATTGGAGATAGGGGCAGGGTCAAGAATTTTAGTTAGGGGAGGTCGGCTTTTCAAGTCTTAAAATAATGTATTGTAATTTTGGAAACTTATTTTCATATCATATATTAAAATAATATTTGATGAGTCTTTATGTCACAAAATCTGTTTATAATATTGTCTATACTAAATAACTAAATTATTTTTTTTTCAATATAAATAATCAAAGAGTTTGAGAGAGATTCATCCTTCATTTTGTTGCGAAGTCTCGTTTTCACAATTTTTATGGTAGAAAATACATTTTCTGTTATTGCTATAGAAACTGAAAGAGTAAATATCAAAGTAATTAACTTATAAATGAAACTATAGACCTCTGGTTTTCTTGTCTCCACAAGCCATTGACATAGTTTAGAAATACGCCAACATCATATCTCTTCACCTTACCACTTTCTACAAGCAAACAAGTTTTTTTCCCCTTTTACAAGCTAATTACACTTTGTATGAGTTTATCTTCCTTTTATACTAATTTATGTTCCTATTTCTTTTCTCTATATGACTATATCCAAGGTTTTTCCTTTTATTGGATTCATATAAGTTTCCTTTATGGATTTGTACTTCTTAAAATTTTTTTTTTTTTACTCCGATCCAATTCTATTTCATATAACTTCAATATAACTTTAATACTACCATAATTTTCAATTTTATTTGTAATCTCAACAACTCTAAATCCTAAAAGGATATTATATAATTTTTTGTGATAATGAAAAATCAATAAGTTTCATTACTTAAATATTACTTTTTCCATACTAGAATAATAAATTTTTTTTGTTTTATCTTCAAATGAAAGATTTGAAAACAATTTTTATCTTTACCTATTTTATACTTAAAAAATAACTAAAAGTAAATATCTACTTCTATAAGAAAATAAATAATTAAAGTTAAAAGATAATTATAGGGTTAAAGTAGAAAAAAAACTATTTATCTTCTTTAAAATAAAAAAAAATGACTATTATTCTGGGACAAGTTCGAAATAAAAAATATCAATTATTTTGGGATAGAGAGAATATACTAATTTTTTTATTAGAACATATCTACTAATAAGTATAAATTTTTTTTTTAAATAATAAAAAAAAACTTACAAAACTTTAAAGTTAAAACCTAATATGACAATGTATGACTCATATAAAAGGAGATAGTGTTGTTATTAGTTTTCACCAAAAAGTTAGTGGTCCATTAGTGGTTCCTTAATTTGTCTTCAAGCTTTCAATGAGGGGAGTAGTGTTGCAACGGCTTGCATCAAGCCATCGGTAGAGTCTCTTTTTTTTTTCTTTTTTTCTTTTTTATTTTTTTTAAATTGATTAGTTGAAAAAAATTGACATCAGGACAATGAGACTAGATACCGAAGAAATGGCATAGAAGACACAAGAACTAGTTTTTCTTTTACTTTTTTTTTTCTTTTTCTACAAAATTTAGTTGTGGGCTTTAAAATAAGTGAGTTTTAAATAATAATAAATAATTAAATTGTTAAAATAAATAATTGATTATATAAATTATTTTTAGGCTCTTAAAATAGCCCATTATTATTGGATTTTTTTTTATGTATTTTAATAATTAAAAATATAATATTTAAAATTTTAATAATAATAATTAATAAATTAATTATATATAATTTTTTTTTTTAAATCTCAAGGGGCCATCGCCCCCGGTCTCCATGTAACTCCGCCACTGATTGGAGAAGCTTCAAATACAAATAGTGTATAATTTACTTTTTAAAAATACAAAGTGAAAATGGCAAGGCAGCATCGTTATAAAATGTGAATCCTCTATACATTTTTTTGACACTGAAAATTTATTGGGGAAGGTAGTAGAATTTTACAAAGCAGGACATTCCCTGCTATTCCAACTATGGTCAAACCACAAATTCTGGATACAAACTTAAACCAGCACGCCTGGCGCTGCAATGCAAAAGTTATACCCTCCTCCATTAGAATTAACAGCAGTTGAAATGTGAACCTCGAGTTGAGTTGAGATGAGTTCTATATTTGTTGACAAACAAACTCATGTGGTTCCCTTTGACCCCCTTAATAAATATGACATTAATTGGCTATTTATGATGATAAAGTACTGGTTTCAAATGCAGGCAAATTGATTAGCTGTCATTCCCCACTCGCCATTGTGTGCAGGACCATTACCCTTCTGCGCCTATTGAATAGCTACAGCCACAGTCACTCATGATTTCAATACGCGCCTGTGTTCTCTGCCTGTCTGCCAAGAGGAACAATACACCTTTTCTTCAATTTATTGTGGCATATGTCGATAACAATTACAAAATTCTCTTGTTTTTGTTACCAACTGTTTAACATACACAGGCTACTTTAAGTAAATACACTTCAATTACCCATTATCCATATATACTCCACCTGTTTCATAATATTTGTCATTTTAATTTTTTTTGTGGATATAATTTTCTTCTTTATATATAGATTTTTTTAGGAATAATTTCATTGTAGCAACCATATAAAAGTATCACTTAAAATTCAAATAAAAAGGTAAAATAATACTTACTATAAAAAAGAATTAGTGTTAAAAAATTATTAAATACAAAAATATCCACCACTGATTAAATATCAATCTTATAATACATACAAAAACTTATATATAACACAAGATTACTCTTATTTTTATAACTTTTTTAATTTACCGATTTTAAGATTTAAAGTTATGGTAATATTCCATAACAACACATTGAATTTTGTTTTTCTCAAACTTTTTCTCTATACTAATATTTTATCTAAAAATTTGAATATGTTCCGGAGACAACGGCTATTAATACCGAGCAGTCTTACACCCCTCTCCAAGCAAACATTAGTAATAATTTTTTTTTTTTTATATGGATCACTCGATATTCGAAAGTTTATCGGAGTCATCAATTAATCTGGATTTAAGCCGAATATGACTAAACAAGCGATAAAACTTTCCTTTACGAGTTTTAAACGGAGCTACATTCTTAAAACTTGATACTAAAACCTCTTATTAAATTAAAAGAGTCTCCTGTTAATTCTTTCACCCGTTTGTGAGTAGTAACCATTAGAAATAATAATAATTATAAAAAATAAAATTAGTACCATAACAAAACAAAAACTATCAGAAGCCCTAATAGTCCAAGTGATCCCTTGATATATTGTAAAGGATTATCTCATGTTATGGAATGGAGTTCAAATCCACTCTTTCCATTCCCTCCTCTTAGTTTCTTATGTTAAAATAATAATAATAATAATAATAATAATAATAATAAAACAGAAAACAAAAGCTAAAAAACAAGAAAACAGATATTAAATGCAAAAAAATCAAAATAATCGAAGGCACAGAGTCCAAAGATATAGAAAGGGAGAATTATTAAGATATATATAAGAAGGTTCCATGAATCAAGGGTCAAAATCATGTGAGTGAGTATGAGATAAGGAAAACCCAATGACCAGTGTTAAAAATCATTTTCCCTCTCTCTTTCTCGCTCTCCAAACAGACCCGATTCTGCTGTTGAGTTAGCCTGTGAGATTTTGCAGAGTCTTCCCAAAATACCCACTTCCATTTTCACACTACAGAGCGCAGTTTCAGTTTCAGGGGATCCCCGGTTATGTTTCTGTTTCTGGGTCTGTTTCTAAAGAAGTAAAAATCTGTCTTCCAGTTTGCAGCAGCTGCAAATGACAGTTTCCATAGAATTACGGCGGAGATACGGCGGAGGTACGGCGGCTATTTTCTTATTCTTCTGTGTCGTCTTCATTTTCGCTGGGTTTAGTAATTTTCATTTTACGGTACATGGGGAAAAGGGTAATCACCAGACTCATCATTACCATTTGCCAAGAAAAGCCCGGGTTCTTATGGACAGTACCACCGTCTCCTTCCATGCACCGCCACCAACATCGGCAGATCCGGCGGAGGCTAAAGGCCCTCCGGACACCGTTTATGGAGATGATAAGAGGATAATTCACACAGGTCCCAATCCTCTCCACAACTAGGAGTTTTATTATTTATTTATTTTAAGAGGGAGAGTAGATTTAATGCATGAGAGGAGCATTGGCATTAGCCTTTTCAGTGGGGATTTAATGAGGACATAGGGGCAGCAGGAATAGTTTTAGGAATGAACAAAAAAAAGAGGAAGATAGTGAAGGCTAGTGTTAATGCTCTTGTTTCTTTTGCAGTGGTTTTTTTGCTTTCCATCTTCTGTACCCCTGCTTCCTTCTGTTAATGTTAAAGTTTAAAGATTCATGATCTCTTGAATTAAATTTGCCTAGTCCACCCTTGGACTCTCCTACTTATCTACTTTTCCTTCTTCCTTTCTGTCCTCATTTTCTCTATCAACTTCAGCGAGAAAAATTTGTGTTTAACTAGTATTGTAGTGATTTGAACTATGATCAGATATATTCCAATTGTTGCAAAGAATAACTCAAATTAAAAAGCGAGAGTTATGTGCTGAAATCATCCATGCATGTTTAATAAATACTATCTGGTTAGTATGGCATCTTTCTTTTTGTTTTCTTTAAAAAAAAAAGAAAAAAAAAAAGTTAGAGAGATGTGGAAACTGAGGCGTATTGACAGTGATGTTAGGGTTATAAGTAAAATTGTTAATACCGTATGGGCATATATACTGGTTTTGCTACTGAAATGATATATATCAGATATTAAAATTTTTTGCATACCGTTTTGTATTTATCGTTATAAATATATATTTTTATAAAAAAGATAAATATTTTGTAATGAAATATTAATTACTATCTGGTTAGTATGGCATCTTTCTTTTTGTTTTCTTTAAAAAAAAAAGAAAAAAACAAAGTTAGAGAGATGTGGAAACTGAGGCGTATTGACAGTGATGTTAGGGTTATAAGTAAAATTGTTAATACCGTATGGGCATATATACCGGTTTTGCTACTGAAATGATGTATATCAGATATTAAAACTTTTTGCATATCGTTTTGCATTTATCGTTATAAATATATATTTTTATAAAAAAGATAAATATTTTGTAATGAAATATTAATTAAATTTTAATATATTTAATTTTTAATTTAGGTATTTAAATTTACTTGTTTATTTTAAGATGCCATATAATACCTTTTTTTGTACTGTACCTTTATTTTAAAAAGATAATTATAACATATATTAAATAAAAAGATTTATTAAAATAATTGTTAATTAAAAATAAATATTAAAGTTTATCAATTAATTATTACATTTTTATTTTATTAGATAAAAAAAATTAGATTTACTAAAATTAAATAGAAGGATTAAATAATTAAAGTAGATAATAATTATAAATTTACACTAATTTGTTGTGAGTATATGATAATTTCTTCACCTTAAATCTATTTTAGGTAAAAAACTGAGAAAAAGAACTTATATGAATATAAGGCACTAAACTATCAGTATAATAATATTTTTTATGTTATAGTAATTATTGTTTTGGTCATTTTAGGCAGTGATAAGTTTTATTTTTTAAAATTAATTTTTGCAAATTTAATAAATTTAAGTAATGCCATTTAAGACATATATTGTGATTATTATATAAAAAATTATTTTAATTTTATTAACTATCTAATTAAAGTACTTTACATAATATTGATATTAAAAATAAATTTACTTTTTAA